CATCTCATCTATTCAGCAGCATGAGCCTTTAGTGTCACAGCAACATCATATTTTAGTCCAGTAAAATAAAAAAAAGTGACAGTAGAATATGCCGCACAAATCTTTTAGCACCCGTGKGTGATATTGCTACAATTTGGATTTCTTCAAAAATAGACATTTCTTGCCTAAATCTATAAGATATTTTAAGCCAGAATAATTTCAAGGAAATTGCAGAACTTCTCAACATGCGAGTAGTGTTCTGTCAAACAAAACAACCTGCGTTTAAACTAAAATAGGTTTTAAATACAGTTATTTTGATGTTAAAGACATATTTTTAATAATAATACAGTGTAAACATTGCCATACAAAGTGTATATCTTTGGTTCATCAATACAAATGTTGCATGGAARAATCAGCCCGTCAGTGAAAGAGCATTGCTTTTTTAAAACCCAGTTGCATGTGTACATATCTGAGTTTAAAGCTAAGACTGTCAAACGTAGAGTATAATTACAAAGATTGCAAAAGACATGCTCTGTGCTGCTATTTTGCTGTCAACTTTTGCTCCATTCAAGAGATACGATTTGAAAAGAAACAATTCTTTTATTATTGACTTACATAGCAGATGGTTTCGCAAGGGGGGATAAAAAGAATATGATCACAATACAGACATTTTTGTTGTATTGAACATTTTCTCCCATCAGATCTTAAAGGCAGTTTGTCTCCATTTTTCAACGTGTCGAAACCCTTTGTCTGAAAGAGGTCTGTTAAATCTGTCTTGCTGCTAATAAACTGCCATTATTCCCCCTCAACAAGGCTGTGCTCATTAATAATGCTTCTGTCAGTCGCTCATTCTCTTCTGTGAAAATAGAAAATATCATTAATTACAGTTTCTGTCACCATCTGACAGCTCAGTCAATTGTTCTAGGCCTCGAGTTCTGTTTCATTGTGTCCACACCTTGTGACCACCTATTCTTTACTGTCTCAATGGGGATGTCCAGCATGTGAGAGCCACAAAGGCCTCGGGAGATCTCGGCACACATTGCAGAGCTTCTGTCCTGGCAACACATTAGTCATCCGGGGAGCGATCGAGTTAGGTGGCAAACTCAAAAGCTTTATTTCACTCTCAAGTGGAGATTAAGGAAAAGAGTAGTATAATAAAGTAGAGTTGGTTTAAATTTCACTGCGGATTTGTTACATTTTTTCCCCACACTTACGCAAAGAAATCCTCTTCAGAAAAACACAGAGGGATTTTCTTATTCAATTCATCAACAGAGAAAAGACGGAGAGAAAAAAGATATAAAACTGAAGCACAGAGAAGCAGATTTGTTTTATGAATATACAAGGATCTTATTGCGCTGGGAATGTTTACAAATGAAAAATTAACTAATGCGAATCAGAGAAGACAGTCGCAGGACAACTCTCTCAACACATCCAGGCAGGCTTGCTTTGATTGTTTAGTTTTACATTATGTAAACCGCAGCAAAGCCAACAGTCRCACGCCAACTGTTCCCCTGAGTGTTCCCCATGTCGGACAAACAAACGCTTTGCTTTAGTGAGCTTTTTTTATGTGGGCAAGCAAACATTATGCTGCATCAATGGTAGAACAAAACTAGTCACAAAAATCAGAGCAGATATGAGTCTAAGTAGCATCAATTGTCCATTAAGCTCATAGCACTGGGATATAAAATGTGTCGGGCTTCATGCAGAGTTCATTTTGGTTTGGTTAWGGTKTGTTGGCTGTCTACAWAGAAAGCAAAATAAGSAGTGYTTTTATTTATCTATTTAGTTTTTTATTGTTGTTATTTGTTTATTCTGTGGCTTGAAGTGCAACTTGTGATATGCAGACCTGTAACAGAATTGGTTATAAGAGTGCAAAAAAAGAGACTATGTACTATGTGCAACATAGTTTTACCAAATAATGAAGTAACTGGGAATTTGTACAGTTCATAAATTCTGAAATAACACAAAAMTATAAATCGTTCAGTTGGAGATTTGGGCGGAAAAAATGGATGTTTAAAATAATACTTTAGATCAGAGATCTATAAYGACGGGGTCACAACTCCTAGTGGGTTGGTTCTGCATACATGTCCAGTTGTATGGATTTTCTGTAAATAACACAGATTTCCCACTATTTTGCAGGTTTAAAGACATATATGAGAAATTATACGTTTTTGTTTGTTCGTCCCCTTCCCCAATCTWAYRTATTTTTTCTRCTCAGCTTCAAATTTATTTTACGCATTACAAGGACATAAAAAATCCATTGAATTAAATAATGAACCCAACCCAATCTGTCACTAGAGACAAACCCGCTCTTTTTCTGTAGCTGACAATCTTCTTGTCACCCCGTGGTATTGCAAGTGAGTATTGCAGATTTTTGGTGAAAAATCTGATTTTTGAGGGTTAGGATTCAGGTAAATGTCTGATGGGGTTGAAACGTATGGGTTTGTTTGTTTTTTGGGGGTAGATATTCTACAAGCCCCTCTTTTACCCCTTTTCTGATGTGTGGCTCAGATGAACTCATTTTGAGGCTGTCTCTTTAAACCCAAACAAGGTGCTTCACAGCCTTCTAGCTTCCAAAGAGGTCCATTCCAGTTTGATAGAGCGATTTAAAACTATATAGCGGTACTGAAGCTTTTTTTACCCTTACAAATTAAWTAAAATATGTCAACAACTGAAGAACTGTACATTCAGACTTACATGTTGGAGCCAGAGTCTGACCCAGAGCCAGAGGAGAATGAAGATGACCAAATTGGTTAGTTGGTAAGTCCAGACGTTATTTAGAAGTTCTGTCGCAAATAATTTGACGTTATAGTTCAGAAAACATCATAGAAAATGAAGAAAAGTAAACAGGTTGAAATAAATGACCAAAATAGAAAATAAAATATCTACGCAACACCGGGAGTGACTAAACTCAATGTTTCTGCACTCCTAGAGACTCCAAATACACAACAAATGGCATTTAACGGCTTCTGTCCTGAGAAATGTTGACAGGTTTGATTAGCTAACTTTTTGTTCAAGCCTGGCCAAGATCAAAGTGGATTTTCTCCAGAACACTGCTTTAAAACACRTGAAGCAACCCTCTAAAATAAACCTTCATAAAATCTGCAATATTATATGGCTCCTTTTCTGCATCTGTCACAAGATTTCTATGAGCATCTCTRAGCAAAAAGAAATAAAAAATGAATCTGTAATTTTAATAGTTTTCAATGCTATAGGGTTGTTACAATGCCTATTCATTTTTCTGCTATAATAGCTATTCATTCATTTAATGTATTCATACAGTATCTTTACAAAAACATATCTATGCAAAAGGAGCATGACATCATACCTATAGAGTCAGATGAATGCAGGGCATTCTGTAGGCATTTGTGTCACCTTTTGAGTCCAGATTATTTCAYAGAGCTTGCTTCACACAGGCTACAAGACAGAATTTTCATGTAAATGAGAGATAATTAAATGATCTGCAGTCCAAATAACACAAGGTTAAAGTCGGAATCAGTCACTCAAAGAGAAAGACGTTCTTCAAAGGCCTTTTCGGGGCATATCTACATGTGCTGCTCATTATTCATTTGCAGCCCAGGAAAAAAAAATCCGAAGAATCCATTTTATATTCCGCGGGTGTGATAAACCGTATTAATGGATTAGCTGTCAAGATACCATACTGTTTCTTAAGTTACTGCTGAAATATTCTTTCACATATTCTGTCAAACACAGGATTATGTGACACAGTGATGCAGACCTCAGTTAAAGTTTCCCATGATGGATATGCTTTGAAGGATATCATAGCAGACCCCATACATGGATGTAATTAAACAAGTGCAAGTGGTAGGGATGATGTATCATCTGCTGTAGCTGACAGCTAGAACTGAGGTCATGGCTTCCTGCAAACCAGTGTTACCACAGACAAATGACTTGCAGCAGTCGCCGGCGTCACTTTTAACTTTGCGCGGCACAGGCAGAGGGAGAATATCTTCTTAACAGTGGTGGCCCAGCTAAGACAAATGGACAGTCATAATCCCTCCACTGGTGGGGAATGTGGTTTGTTAGAATACGATAGTGGATGTGATTTTGTTTAAATTTTGATTATTTATTGTGAGCAGCTTGGTGGATTAGTGGTTAGCACTGCTGCCTCACAGCGAGAAGGTCCTGGGTTAACCTTGCCTGCTCAAAGGTTGCGAGAATATCAATTCATTGTTTGCACATAAAAATAACAAATTTAATCTATTTAAATCACTAAAACTTTGTATAACTCATGTGATTCTTTTACACTTTTCCAAATAAAAGTTTGTAACTATTCACTTTATTCTTTTATTGTTTTGATTAAGATAAACTTTTAATGCGTGTTGGGAGAGGGGTGTTGCGAGGGATAGGGCTACTCAGCTTGGCTTGCAAGTAAGAAAGAGGGACTGATGTAAATAATGTATGCTTATGAATATATTATAGGGGTAATTATTAGTTGTAAAATGGTGGATGTATGCATATGCATGTGTGTT